CCCCCATTAAATGCCGAGAGCCAGCCCTGTTTCCTCTCATGGGTCGTGGACTAAATGGGGCTTGACCACAGGGCCCAGCAAAGGAAAAGTGGACCAAAGAGACAAAAGACAGCTGGTCTTTCTCAAATCTGCTCACGTGGATCTTCAGAATAAACTCTATCCATAAACTCCATATCCTTGAAAATGCGTGTTCCCCCAGGGAATCCAGCTCCCTGATTTCCTTTGTTTCGTTTCCTGGCTTGCAACTGTCTTGCCTAGACAAAGATACTTCTGTCACTCTCTCTCCATCACTAATGCAATCTTGAGCACCTTCTGGGTCTTTGTCTTCCACAAAGCAATCCTTTCTTGGATTCAGATTTCCTCCAAGCCGTTGCCATCTCCAGCTATCGGTTTCTAAGGGAAACCTAGCTACAGCCTTCCTCACCATCACACCCTCCCCCAGGATTAGCAAACACAAGGCCATACACAGGGAGCACCTGAGACAAACATAACTTAAGAGAAAGACGCCAGGTAAAGGCTGAAAACTACATCTTACCCGGTCAGTATCATGGGGGAACCAGAGGATCAGAGACCATGTGGTGTGATGACCTAAGGGGTCAGGGAGACGTTAGCCTTTTGCCAGACTCTACACTTGCTGTGTGACCTTGGACCAGCCATTTAATCCAGTGGATCTCTGCTCCCTCATCCTTTAAAGGAAAGGTTGGATCAACAAATCTCTAAAGATCTTTCCAGTTTATGATTCCATGATCCTTAGCCAAACACTGAGATCCAAGAATAGGATCTCACTTCTGTCCTTTGGAGATTATTTCCATAATGCAAGAGGAACAGCACCTCCCCCACCCCACCTTGCTACTCTTCTGTTGAATTTAGTTTCTTTCCCTGGAGGCTACTGAAGGATGTTACAGGTGTGAAATGTGTGGTGAAGAACATTGTTTCTGGTGTCAGATCCTACCTGGCCCGGTTGGTACTAGATTTTGAAAAAATTATCCTACCGTTCAGGGACCATTCCTCAAAGAACCAAAACCCCAAGAGCCAGAGACTGGATGAGGGACACAGAGTACAAGACGGTAATTTCCTTTTGGTTCTTTAAGCAGGTCGTGAACGAGGCCTGAACAACTAGAACAGAGTCTGTCAAAACTATTTCCAGGGCAGCAGAGGAAGGTGGGAAATTAGGGAGAAAAGGGGTGAAACACTTTAGCGGCTCTTGACTCTCCCCCGAGATCTCTGTTCTGTGAGCCCACGCTCACCAGGCGGCGATGACTGTGGCTGCTGGGCTCAGCACAAGATGTAATCCTAACCCAGGAACAAGGCTGAGGCTCTGCTTCTCAAAAAGGAACTAACCTCAGGCGCCGCCTGTGTTACCAAGCTAGAGTGGGTGAGAATCACCGGTTCCCATCAGGGAAACTAACTGCTTTCTCCTAGGTCACCCTGGACTTACATTATGACAGAAGCATTTCCCAGCCAAACAGGCAATAAGCAATTCCAGTTAGCAAAGACTCTAGGGTTGAGTGAATTCCTAGCATACTTTATTTCAGAAATGACTGCATTATTGGGATTTGGCCTTGCGTACGTAATTCTTCTCAAATGCAAGAATGCGGCTAAGTATGGCCTTCAAGGGCTTTGATGGTGATCTGAAGGTCCCTTGGTAATGCCCGGGCTGGCAGAGAACAACCCACATTCTGTCACCAGTCACAGACCAAATAAGTAACCACACAGATGCCACCAAGAAAGGAGAAGGGACTGGCTCTGTGTGATCACAGGCCCATCAGGAACGTGGCCTTCTGAAACTAGGGAAATGGGCTCAAATCCTTCTGAGAAACCCTACTATTCCCAGACTTGCATCCCAGGTTTCAGAACATGAATGTCTCAATCTCGACCCCAGACTGCGGTGTGTGTGGGCAGCAGAGGGGAGAAAGTGGGTAGGTGGGTGAGGGTGTTGGGAAAGTGGAGGTGGCTCGGCCTCGTTCACCGGGTGTAGCCCACACGCACCTTCTGAGAGCTGAGGCTGGCTGCGGTATCCTCTCAAAATGGAAGGAATACCACAGGAATGCAACAAGACTACAAACATAAAGAACCACGGACACTGGTTGGATCCAAGTTCTCTGAGGAGTGAACAACAGCGACACAAAACATAAAAAAACGAAAGAAAAGAAAGAAAGAAAGAAAAATAGCCCTTTGTGGTAAAGGGCATGCTGGGAAGGCGAGGGCCGGAGCCACCTCCCCAGAGCATGCTGGGAGACGGACACCCGCGCATCTCCGAGGACCGCACTTCCCCTATCCCTACCCCCTCACCCACCCCCAACCTGGAGACCAGAGGAAAGTTTGTCCGAAGATGACTGCGGAGTGGGGTATGCCGTGGTTCTCTGCAGGTCCTCCACACTGTGGGGGGTTGAGTCAGCAAGTGGGGACAACAGTCAAGATGAGATGGAGGAACAGAGAGGCAGGAGAGAAATGGGACGGACAGAGGCTGCAGGGGCCAGTGTGTTGGTGGAGGACGAGGGGAGATTGGAGCAGAGGGCCCTGGGGCTGCTAGCCCGAGGTGTTGATGTACAGCTGGCTCTTAAGAATGTAGTCGATGACCGGCTGGGACAGGTAATCCACGACATGGCCGTCCCCATGCTGCAGGGCCAACCTGGATGAGAAGAGACAGTAATCAGATGACATCCTTTCCTGAAGCAAGGCCAGAGGACAGGCCAGCCCATTCCCTTTCGGGGAAAGGGTTTACCCAACACCCCATTACCAGTCTTTGCTTAGGCTAAATACATGGCATCCCTATCAGGAAAAGCCCTCTTGCCCCCATAATTCCTCCCCCATCCTAACTCTGCCACTTCCTAACTGAGGAACCTTGGGCAAGTTGTTTAAGCCCATCTATTCTTCCATTTTCTCGTTTATAAAATGGGGGTAGTATCTGGGCCGATCTCAGTTATTAAAATGATTAAATGAGTCATTACACAAAGCACTTAGAAAAGCCCAAGCACACAGTAGGCATTTCAATGCAAGTGTTAGCTATTCTTATTTCATTTCTTTGTGTTTCTCTACACCATGGTCTCATGAAAATGAACCTTATGATTGACCCCTTCTTTTCCTTCCTATGGAAGCCCTGATAGAGAAAAAGTTGCCCTTCTCTGAGGCCCTTCTCACAAGCCCTGGGGGGGCGGGTGGACTACCAAGTACAGAAGGGGTCTGGTCATACAGTTTGGTTTCCGCACGGTTTTGCTCCAGCCTTGGTCTGGCTGCTCCCCATTTTCTATGCGCATGATGGTCTTGGGAATGCCAGGCCCCAAGGAGCTATTTGTGAGAACTCATATACTCCGGATATCTAGATTCTAAAAGGCATCTGTGCTCTGCCCTGTGAGATCTCCCCAGAGGCTGGCTCAGTGCCTTTTCAATGCATAGTGTCCTGACCTTCCAGCAAGCTAGGTCCTCAAGTGCCTCACTGCACAATTTACAGGGAGCCTTCTTGAAAAAGTGGTCTATAACTGTGGTTTCCAAATGGCAATCCCAGCTTCATGAGAATCACCCAGGAAGCAGAGAGCCAGGCCCAACACCCAGAAATTCTGATTCAGTGGGACTCAATGGGACATGGGAATTTGTGCTGTGTAAGTTCTCACTGTAATTCTATTGTGCAGCCATGGCTGGAACCACAGCCTTCCCCTTTCCCGTCACTGGTTGTTGTCACTGGGTTTCTGCTCTCGCCTCACAGCTGATGCTACTATTTCAAGTGTCTACAGAATCACCTTCCAGGGAAGAAGTCCAGTGGACCTTTTAAAATCCTGGGCTCATCTGATTTCTCTGAAACATGCGACACAGATGACAACTGACGGGGCTCTCCATCTTTGTACCCTCTGCTGCCTTTGTTCCAGGGCCACCAATGCTGGTGGTTTCTGACTGCTCCTTCGTCTCTTTTATTTTTTTATTACTTTTTAAAAATTGAAGTATAGTTGATTTACAATGTTGTGTTAGCTTGAGGTGTAGAGTAAAGTGATTCAGTCATACATATATATCTATCGATTCTTTTTCAGGTTCTTTTCCCTTGTAGGCTATTACAAAATATTTAGTATAGTTCCCTGTGCTATACAGTAGATCCTTGTTGGTTATCTATTTTATACATAGTAGTGTGTATATCTTAATCCCAAACATCTAATTTACTCCTCAGCCTTCTTTTAAATGTTAATGTGTTTTAAGTATTCCGCATAGCTTTCTTCTCTTCTTGCTGACTCTCCCTGTGAGCGCAGCCACAGCCCTGAACTTTAATTTACACTTAGGTACTCATGGCTTTCAGTTTCATGACACTTCCAGACCTCTATATTCCACACATCTTATTATTCCACTGGACATTCCCACTTGGGGCTTGTGGTGAAGACTGTTAACTGGCCCCTAGTATCCATTCTTTCTTCTGCTTAGTACTACAACCTCCCAAGATTTAGTTGGACACAGGGCTGCCAAGTTACAAAGTCTACTCCCAGCCTCCCTGGAGGCTAGGCATGGCCACATGACTGAGGCTGAGCCAGGGGGATGAAGGGGAAGGGATATGTGCAACTTCAGGTCACCTTCTTAAGGACAAAGCTCCTTGCCCTTTCCCACTGGCTGAGAACAGTCACTGTAGCAGCTGTGGACCCTGAGAGGGAAGCTTCACATTGAAAAGAACAGAGATTCAGTTTCTTCTGACTTCAGTTAGAGGGATATAAACATTTCTCTTATTTAAAACTCTAACTATTGGGGGTCTTTTTGTTATGGCAGCTTAACCTAAACGCTTATAAATTCCATGCGTACCTCAAACTAGAGTCCAAACTAAAAACCTCCTTTTCCCCCTTCAAACCAGCTAAAACTAATAAATGGCCCATTCCCCTTTTAAAAGTCAATGACTGGGGACAAATATATAAGCTCTAAAAAGAAGGCTGCATACTGGGGCAGCAGGTGTCAGCCAACCTAACGGTCAGCCTGGACTGAGGAGAGTTGTATGGGAACTTGTAAGCCAGTCTGACCAAGGTCTCTCTGGTTGTTTGTCAAACGTACCTGCTCTTGGTTGAGCTGACGACAGACATGGGATGGTTGATGTCATCCTTTACCACCATGATGTTGTTCTGGGGACAAAGCACAAAGCAGAGACAGTAAGTAGCCAGTCTCTTAGGCTAAACTCCTTTTGTATCCTCACTTCTTCAGCCCGCAGGCTTCTCAGAGAAGGCCCACATCACATAACTACACCAGCAGGGAGAACGGAGGACTCACTTTGTATTTGCGGAGTATTGAGGAGTGATTCATAATTCGGTCTGTGTCGGCTGCGTCCCGGGGGACCACCACGATCCCAAAGTCCCCAACAATCACCTCCATCTGAAGAAACGGTGAGGGGGGAGGGGGAGAGAGAGAGAGAGAGAGAGAGAGAGAGAGAGGAAATGCCCTTTGGTGAGACCTTGACTACAAACCCCTACCAAGCAACTACCTAGCAAGGTGGAGCTATCTTCTCTCGGAACCCCAAGCCTTAGTCCCAAACTTGCCTTCTCAGCCCCATCAGTCAGCTCCTTCAACTTACAACCTGTAACAAACAGTGTTCATGGAATGAGTGGGAACTTCACCTGGCACCCTTAATGAACACCTCTAGACTGAATTGATAAGTGCGCTCCTCGTGTCTAGGCAAGATCTCTCCAATTCCTGAGGCTCCCGCTGAGCTCATAATGCTGAAGAGCAGCATGACACATGGTCCTTACCTGGTAAGTACCCTCTTCGGTTGCCCAGCAAGCATACCCCAGCCCCCGGCTGGTCTCCTGAGAGGGGCTGGAATGCTCCCCTGGCTCACCCATGTCAAAGATGCTGTGGGACTCAGGGCAGCGAAAAGCAGGGAAGGGCTTGGAAAGCATCAGTGTGTACACAGGCAGTGATAAGGAGGATAACTATGGGGTCACTTCTGAAATCAGCCTCCAATAGAAGATGGCTCCCATCATGAGAAATGAAACCTTTTCATTTAAAAAATAATTTTTTTCCTGATTATAGATACAAACTTGGGAAACTCAGAAAAAGAAAAAAAAATATATAAGAAATCAATCACAACCACACAATCCAGAGAACCACTGTTAACAAGTTAGTATTTACGTTCAGGGTGCTTTTCTCTACAAATTGATGTGTATATCCACAACTGGACTGAACTGCAAAATTAATCATTTTACCTATACATTTTTTTTCTTTTAGCATTATATTGTGAGCATTTTTTCATATGGTTATAAATATTTGAGGACTTCCCTGGTGGCATAGTGGTTAAGAATCCGCCTGCCAATGCAGGGGACCCAGGTTTGATCCCTGGTCTGGGAAGATCCCACATGCCGCAGAACAACTAAGCCCGTGTGCCACAACTACTGAGCCAGCACTCTAGAGCCCGTGAGCCACAACAACTGAGCCTGTGCCACAACTACTGAAGACCATGCGCCTAGGGCCCGTGCTCTGCAACAAGAGAAACCACTGCAATGAGAAGCCTGCGCATCACAACCAAGAGTAGCACCTGCTCGCTGCAACCAAAGAAAACCTGCGTGCAGCAACAAAGACCCAACTCAGCCAAAAAAAAAAAAAAAAAAAAATTGAAAATGTGTTTTGACAATCTGTATATTTCATTGCCTGACTATACTGTGATATACCATGATATATTAAATGGAATTTGTGTTATAGACAGTGTATAGTTACTTCTGATTTTTGCAGCTATAATAACACTTTGTTGAAGATCTGTATACATAAACCTTTTTCCACATCTCTGATTATTTCCTTAGGACAGGAAGTAAAATCATTGGATGAAAGGATATGAACTGGACATATTTCAAGGTCTTGAGACTTATTACCAAGCTGCTTTCTTGAAGGTCATGGAATTTTTCTTTTCAAAGAGCCTGAGAGTTATGGCATTTAATAGACTCGGATCTAGCCTGGGCACATTACGGTTTAGATCTTGCCAATTAAGGATCCCAGATGGAGGGAGAAGGGGACAGGCAGGTTTCTTCCGAGAATGCAGCTCATTGGGCAAGACCTGCTTTGGGGCAAAAAAAAAAAGGTTTTTTCTCATAATCCTCCAACCGATTGCCACAAAAACAGACATTATAGAGCACTACAGCCGCTTCTTCTCTATCAGAGGATTTCTGTACCAGCAGAATTCCACTTCTAAGGCTGATTCACTGATTATGCGTGTGTGTGCTTGTACTGTGTGCACCTGTGTGCCCTTGGCTATTTCCATCCACCTTCACCCTATTTCTCCCATTGCTTACAACTGGAGCTAGAGCTGCAATTAAAAATTGGCTGAAGGTGCCATAGGAGGGAAGTTGCAGAGAGAAATTAAAAGCTGGGTGTACAATATCTGAGCCCACATTGGATCATGCTATTTGGAAGATACAGAACATTACACAACATGCCGCATCTACTGGTGTTCAAATCCGGTAAACCGGCCCCAAGTCTTTGTCCCATAAACCGGGAATGTTAGGGAGAGGCAGGGCAGGGAGTTGGAGGTAGATCCAGCCTCTCCTGCCATAGCATTTAAAATATTGCACTGGGACTCACTACTTAGAAGGTAATTGAAGACGCTGGTTCTCAAATTTGGCTGCACATTAGAGTCACCTGAGGACCTTAAAAACCCCTCAAAGCCCAGCTCACACCCAAGATCAACTAAATCAGAATCTCTGGGAATGGGGCCCAGGCATTAGTTTTTTTTTTTTTTTTAATTCTCTAGGTTTTAATTCCAATATGCAACCCAGTTTGAGAACCAGTGATCTAAGTACTGAATTAAAACTTGAGGGGAATTTTTAGGGTAGAGAAAGAGATAGAAAAGAGAAGGGAAGAGAAAAGAGAAGAGACGGAAAGGGAAGGGGAGGGGAAAGGAAGGGAAGAGAAGAGAATCCATCCAAGCTGGTGTACATGGAGATTCCTCAACTGCCTGGCTATGTAGGTAGGTGTTTCAAGATATCTGGTGTTGATTGTATAACAGGATTTGAATTCAATTTGATTCTGAGGATCTAATGGATGTTTCATGTATGATGCGTGAAATAACAGGGCTATTTAAAGTGAGCATTCTAGGACTTCCCTGGTGGTGCAGAGGTTAAGAGTCCACCTGCTAATGCAGGCGACACGGGTTCAAGCCCTGGTTCAGGAAGATCCCACATGCCGTGGAGCAACTGAGCCCGTGTGCCACAACTACTGAGCCTGAGCTCTACAGCCCGTGAGTCACAACTACTGAGCCCACGAGCCACAAATACTGAAGCCCATGCACATAGAGCCCATGCTCCGCAACAAGAGAAGCCACTGCAATGAGAAGCCCACGCACCGCAACGAAGAGTAGCCCCCGCTCACCGCAACTAGAGAAAGCCTGCACGCAGCAACAAAGACCCAACGCAGCCAAAAATAAAGATAAATAAAGCATATATATATATATATATATATATATATATATAGTGAGCATTCTAGTTTAAAGCATTAAAACAATGGTTCAGAATGGCAGTCAGGCCTCACGGGGAACAGCCCTACCTGTGACATTAGTGCAGCTGCTGCTTTCTACTCAGGAACTAATGATCTGAGCGCCCAATCAATAACAATGCAGGCTGCTCAATGGGTGGCAAGCAGATGGAGACCTTGATGCTTGAGATGGAATTCCTCTTCCAGAAACAGGTGACAGATTTGCCCTCTCGGAATCACAGATGGGGTGAAGGAGATGGGTCTACCAGACAAGACACACAGCTTTACCACATCCAAGTGGCATCTCTGCAGGGGTTTGGACCAGAGAATGCAGACTTTTCTGCTCTTTTGGCCAGATCTGAGGACATGGGCTTGATTTTCATGCCAGAAGGTGTTTGTGTGTGTGTGTTTTGGGGTGCTAGGAGGTGCCGGGTGCTAGAGTTGGTAAGGTGTGCCCTCATCCCACAGGTTTTGATCTCCTTCCAGGAGCTTAGCTGCCCTGCCCACCCCCACCCCTATCCTTGTCTCCTGTCTTCACGTGGCCTCCAAGATCCACCCTCTCCCGGTCGTCCTTCTACCTCACTGGCTGCTCTTTTGTGGTCTCCCCGTGCTGTTCCTTCTCATCTCCCCGATCTCGAATGACTGGAGTCTCCCAGGCTCAGTCCTTGGATCTCTTTTCTTTTCTATCTACACTTGCACCTTTAATGATTTCTTTCAATTTCAAAGCTTTAAAGATACACGGAAGGCTCCCAAATTTATATCTCCAGCGTAGACTCCTCTCCTGAACTTCAGACTCATACATCCAGCAGTCTCTTGAACATGCCCACTTGGATGAGGCATCTCAAACCTAAATAATATGTCCACGAGCCCCTGAACTCTCTGACATCAATCAATCAGTCAGTCAGTCCCCTCCACCATCATCCTACAGGCACCAAGATTCTTTTCCTGTAGACTTTCTCATTTTAGTAAATGGAAACTCTCTTCCTACAACTGCTTAGGCCAAAGCCTTGGTGCTTTCCTTGATTCCTCTCTTTCTCTCACATCCCACATTCAATCTATAAAGCAACCCAATTGGTTTGGTCTTCAAAACAAATCCCAGAATCTGCTCATTTCTCACCATTTCCATCACTTCTACCCTGGTCCAAGCCTCCTTTGGTAGGTTAAATAATGGGCCCCCAAAACACCGAGGTCCTAATCCCTGGAACCTGTGAATGTTATTTATGTGGCAAAAGAGACTTTGCAGATGTGATTAAAGTAAGGATCTTGAGATTATTCTGGATGACCTAGGTGGCCCCTAATGTAATAACAAGTGTCCTTAAAGAAGAAGGCAGAGGGAGATTTAACACAGGAGAGAGAAGATGATGTGAAGATGGAGCAGAGAAGATGCTACACTGTTGGCCTTGAAGATGGGAGAAGGGACCAAGGCATGCAACAAATGCAGCTCTAGAAGCTGGAAAAGGCGAGGAAACAGATTCTCCCCAAGAGCCTCTGGAAGGACTACAGCTCTGACTACAACTTAGTATTGGCCCAGTGAAACCTATTTCACACTTCTGGCTTCCAGAAGTGAAAGAGAAAAAATGTGTGCAGTTTTAAGCCACCAAGTTTGCAGCAACAGAAAACTAATTCATATATGATCTTATTTGCAAAGGAGAAAGACACAGAGGACAAATGTATGGATACAAAGGGGAAAGGGGGGGCGAGGTGTGTGGGATGAATTGGGAGATTGGGATTGACATATATACACTATTGATACTATGTATAAAATAGATAACTAGTGAGAACCTACTTTATAGCATAGGGACCTCTACTCAATGCTCTGTGGTGACCTAAGTGGGAAGGAAACCCAAAAAAGAGGGGATATATGTATACGTATAGCTGATTCACTTTGCTGTACAGCAGAAACTAACACAACATTG